ATCAACTTGACCTTTCCAGGCTCTGAGGAAGGCGAAATCCGCCGAAACGTCAGCTTATTCGTGAATAAAGAATAATAACACCTCGCGTTTTCTCAACAAAAATACCAAAAATTCTAATCCGTGGGTCCCAATGTGACGTTCTTCAGACGTTCTTCCTGGTCCAATATTGGCGTTGAAATCTCCAATGATGACCTTGAACAATGTGTGGCCTTCTCTGTAGAACTTCTCCAAGCTTCGACTTCTTCTTCGTCATAGTTTGATGTCGGAGTGTAAACGACGAAGATTGTCAAAGCCGGAATTAATATACGTCTTTTTAATCGTAAACGTCCGATTCAGGTTAAAAGGTGTTCGAATGAATCGATGTTCACGGACAAACTCATGTTGAGGAGAACGCCCACGCCGCCGACTCCTCTACTGTTGCATGTTCCGAGGAACAGTTCTCCGATTTCATAGATGGCGTTGAAAGGCTGGCTTCTTCTCGTCTCGGCCAGGCCGATGACGTCGTACCACATCATTCTTGCTTGCATGAGCAAGTCTTCTATCGAGGACTCGGTTGCATGTGTACGTGCATTATAGGTACAGATCTTCACCATAGTTTTTTGTAATCCAGGCAGCTTCCATTGGCTCTGAGTTCTTAGCAGCCTGTCCGTGCTCGTCCAACCCAACGCTACGAAACTGGAGGCTTTCGGAGTCAAGGAAATGAGACCCGTTTTTTTTTTTACTGTGTTTAGCATTTCGATACTCACGTATAGCACGTTGGGCTTTGAACGTGGGGGCTGGGATTACTCACGGGGAGCTTCCCAGGCTCTCCCAGAGTGGACATGGAGCTTATTTGTTGGAGTCGACTCCTAACTGCCTCCCGTATGCTTCCCAGTCACTTGATTGCAGGCTTTTTGCTGAATTGACTCGCAGAATACAGTCGGCATAAGCAAGAATTCACCCACACACGCATGTATGAATACCGCCTAGCAATTACAGAAAGCATGTGCCAAATCGGCGCAGCGAAATCAGGGAGTCCATCCCCTGGATCCACCTGCGTCTCAGGGAAGTAAAGGTCGCTTTTCCGCGTTTAACCCGCTATCCGCCACCTGGAGACGCACCACGTAGCCTCGCGACTAACCGGCTCGAGATCCCTCATATGAGGGTGGTCCGTGGTGGGGAATAGTTACTACAATAAATGTGAATGCTCGAAACTTTAACCAGATTATTGGCGTATATATTCCAATTCAGGCGCAAAGGTTCAGATTCGACTTAAAGGGATTAGTTCCATGCCTATCTTAAAAGAATACGATAATTGACTTGACAACAACCTTTCAGAAGTCAGACAAATCGGCTATACCATCAGCAAGAGCAGTAAAAATGACTAACACTTCGTGATAGAATGGTTATGCTCTTCGTTTCCTACGGATGGGCGCTATCTCATTGATTAAGCCTAGGAGAAAGGAGATCCCACCTACAAATGTTTACTTGGATACCCCATGATTTATGGGTTATTGATTTGTTAGCAATACAAATGAAAATACAAAGTAGTTAAAGAGCGACTGATCAGCTGATATTGATGACTTCAACAATCAGAGAAGCGACCTAAACTACTTCACATGTAAATAAGTCCTAACGTACTCAGTAGAAACAAGGACGAGAAATGAGGAAGGAATACAACTTATTGCTGCGTACAAAAGCTTAAGACCATTTTAGTCTTTTCTTATCCACACCTCTAACAGAAAGACTGCATACATGATGGAGCTAGAATTCTAGGACGACTTAAGTCATGAGATAGCTGTGGAATTTAACAACGACACGTGGTCGGTGTTTAAGTGAATCAATGTAAGCTAATGGACAATTGAAATAACACATTATTGAACTGGATTTATCTATTACAGATCGATGAAGGGGTTTTAAATGTCAGCGTCTAGTTATCGCAATCGAATCGTTCGTAAAGTGCTCTTTCTGAAAGAAAACATAGCTCTTCTACATCAAAAAGAAGCGGCTCATCTGTTCGATAGGTCTAGATGTTTTTAGTGAGTTCGGAAACATAGCGTCAAATGCCAGACTTTGCTTAACGAAGACAAAAACGTGGATGCCGAGGAGAATAGAATGAAGCTATTTTCATCGCACAATGGAAGGAATAATGACACAGAAACAATTGATTGGCGATCAATCGATAAATAAAAATCCGTGAACGATATTCTTGTCAAAATCGAATAGAATCGAATCGACTAGTTGAGGCCAAAATCATTTCACTCTGACCCTCTTCACAGATACGCAACATCCAATGCTCTGCCCCTACTTCTACATTTCAGCCAACACAAAAGGCTAACAACTACTAGTTAGAGGCTTATCGGCTCATATTGCGATGGACCTAACGAATGTTTGCTTCCACTACTATTCGACACCTAAACAACAACAAAGGATACTAATTCTATCATACATGTGCGAGCTATTCAGTAACATTATCGTCACCCCACGTAGTAATTCCCATGACCGACTTTCTGTTAACCTCGGCATTAATTGATAATTCAATGTTTTTCATCAATAAGCAGACACGAGGTTGTTAATATAGAATTTATTAGAACACAATTGCTGACGTTTCGGCGGTTTCGCCTTCTTCAGAGCCTGGAAAGGTCAAATTGAGATGCGATCTACTCAGCCAAACACTTTCATAACCCTAGCAGATAAAACTTGATAAATCGATTTGTATTCGCATAAGAAACAGCTTCATTCAAACACCTACCGTTTATTTGTTGTAAGTATTTAAGTTAGTTGGTGGATAGCTGCCGCACAGAGTAATACATGGTCGATAACTGGGTCCATGTCAGATCATTGGATCAGCCTGAGGTATGGCGCCAGGTCACGCGTGATGACAAGACACTCCTCCTTGCGGTTCATTTTTGNCAGTAACATTATCGTCACCCCACGTAGTAATTCCCATGACCGACTTTCTGTTAACCTCGGCATTAATTGATAATTCAATGTTTTTCATCAATAAGAAGACACGAGGTTGTTAATATAGAATTTATTAGAACACAATTGCTGACGTTTCGGCGGTTTCGCCTTCTTCAGAGCCTGGAAAGGTCAAATTGAGATGCGATCTACTCAGCCAAACACTTTCATAACCCTAGCAGATAAAACTTGATAAATCGATTTGTATTCGCATAAGAAACAGCTTCATTCAAACACCTACCGTTTATTTGTTGTAAGTATTTAAGTTAGTTGGTGGATAGCTGCCGCACAGAGTAATACATGGTCGATAACTGGGTCCATGTCAGATCATTGGATCAGCCTGAGGTATGGCGCCAGGTCACGCGTGATGACAAGACACTCCTCCTTGCGGTTCATTTTTGAATTTTTGAATTTGTGTTTGGCTGAGTAGATCGCATCTCAATTTGACCTTTCCAGGCTCTGAAGAAGGCGAAACCGCCGAAACGTCAGCAATTGTGTTCTAATAAATTCTATATTAACAACCTCGTGTCTGCTTATTGATGAAAAACATTGAATTATCGTCACCGTAATCCAGATGTTGCTCTTAGACCTTAACTGAGTGTTACCTTTTTAATAAGGTTTTCACGTAAACTGAGAAAAAACAACTGGCAAAAGAAGACATTTCGAAATTTATTTTGTTTTCCTATATTTCTACGAATCCTCTTCATGTGGAAATGTCGAGTCAGTGAATCACGAGGTTAGTGAGTTCGAGATACTCGAATGGTGAACTGTAGACAGATGAAGCTGAATTCACAAGATAACCTCCGTATTTGTTTTATTTTAGAATTTCTGTGAACTGATTCCGCTGGTAGTCTTTATGGGAAGTATAAGGAGGGACCCGGGTTGACCTTCAACAAGTAAGTTCACCTTTAATTTGGAAGGGCCTCACTTGTTTTTTTGTTACCGTTTACTTAAAGCTGTGGAAATGAAAAGCTTGTTACGAAAGGAGTTGTGCATTTTGTTTCTTGGGAGAGCAAAGCATACTAGGAGACTATGACGTCTTACAGTGATAAACGAGAAATGAAGAGGTAATGGTTCGAGTCATTCGATGATTCATTAGACGATTGTAAGTGGTAGAGATGACTCTCATTCCAATCATTCGGTGTTCATTGAGTCTGTTTCAAAAGCACAAACAAGGAAAAGCCGGTTCCTACTGGTGGAACTGAAAAGGAATTCGGAAGGAAAAGAACTTTTGTCCTAGACCGCCAGATATTCAAAGGGAGCAGCAGCTGCTGAATTATTCTCCTTCATTATTTCAATGTATTTCGTATGTTGCTATCTGCCGAGCGATAATGCATCCATCTATTCATCAGTACAAAACATTTCTGCATTAAACACATTTCTACATTAAACAATCTCAGTCCTAAGTATTTCTATATGGATTTCTTGCCTCAACTTGTCATCCTAAGTGACGACTCCAGTAAAAACTAGGCATATTCATTGTCACGAAGGATGACGATGGTGATGAAGATTCTCCGACGTGTGACGCGGCTGTAACTGTCAGAATAAGTAGCCATGATGAAGACATTACGGGTTGCAAACATGACGATGATGCGGTTGCACCAGCGCAGCAAGCAGTTATAGAGACGATTCTGTAGAACGTGAGGAGGCAGTAACTTTTACAACAGCTAGCAATAATGAAAACATTATGGGATGTAAACGTGACGCGACGACGCAGCTGTAGTAATGCAGTAAGCAACCATGATTATGATTCCGTAGAATGTAACGTGACTAAAGCTACTACGATGAGTAGCCATGATGGTTTCATAGGAAGTAACGCGATAATGCAGTCGTAGTAGTTCAGTGAGGAGTTATGATAACGATTCTGCAGAATGTGACGCGGCTGTAACTACTACAATAACTACTCATAATGAAGACACTATGGAATGTAAACGTGATGCGACGATGCGGCTGTAGTAATGTAATAAACAGCTGTGATAACGGTTAGGTAGAATATGACCTGGCTGTAACTGATACAAAGACAGTCAGGGACAGTAGTGGAGATATTGGAATGTGACTCGATGATGACGCAGCCTCGCTACTACAATAAGCCGGCAGCCGACATTAACTGGTACAAGCGCTTCTGTCGATCAGTAGGTCGGTCGCTCGGTTGTTCGCTTATCACCGACGTTCTGTCCAGTGATTTGAGTGCTTCTATTGCTAGTCACAAACGCTGATAAAGTAGAAGACGCTCCAATTCACTCAATAACTAGCAACTACAGATCGACTTCAATCTGATTGCTGTCTTCTTCACACAGAAAAAGCTGACGAAGAAGAAAAAAGCTTCTGCGACTACAGGTTTTTATGGACACTAATTCATCGACACTGTGAAATCACTTATTTGCTCCGTTTCAGCTGTCTGCTCAACCACTTGAGTCACCACTTCTTCTATTTTGATTTTTGGAACTCATAATCAGAAGTTGTTTGTCGATTCATTTGCAACTATTCGCTAAAAAAATCTCCTTACCGATTCTGCTTTTAGTCACCGATATCATTTTAAAAAGCTTCACAATTCCCTTTAAAGGTCGTTGCTCTACAAATAAACAGCTGAGCAAGATTGCTTTTTTTAAGCTAGTGGTTTAAACTAAAACTTCTCTGTGATGGTAGTATTGTTTCTTAAATCTCTAAAACTACACAGTAACTTCTATACTGAGAGAATTCGATAAATGCATTTGCGATGCAACCACTATGATGCTGAGATATTTGCAAAACTCCGGACCACCAGTGTATGCGGCGAACGCCCTATTACCCTTTCAGAGGGCTACCGCTTTCACCACCACGCCATGTCGGGCCTTCGTTTCGCCCGTCTCTCAGCATGTCTAAATGCATTTGCATTGGAAAACACTAGCTTACTCTTAATTTTGTTATTTTGGAAAAAAAGCACAGTATGAGTGAGAGCTAATTAGACATTCCATATTTCAGCATTACTCATCCACTTGCGCACATTTTGATTTCGTTTTCCTCCAACTGCTTTTTAATTTTACGAAATTCCCTTCCCACTATTCATTCATGCTGTCATTCATCATTTAACTCCTACTTTCATTCTTTTTCTATTCTCTCTTTTTTATTCTTACGCTATAATTACTCCTTGTAATCTTTCATGAGGATGGAGTTCTTGCGCGATTCACCTCATCAAAGTCCTGTTGATCATTCTGCATATTCAACTGTTTTTCAGTGGAAACGATGTTGTCGAATATCAACAACTATATTCGCCAAGTGAAATCCACTCATGACGACGATTCCATAGATAGATTGAATTATGTGAGATTTTTGCCTCTCCTCGATAAATTTTTCTTATACAGATTCATCCATCAAGCAATAAATATTATAAATACAAAACAATAAAATAAATATAATAGAATGAAAATATAAAAACAATACATGTGTTGGAACATTTCTTAAAAACTCAAAAGACCGACTTTCTATAAACCTCGGCATAGATAGTTGATATATTTATTTATGAGATCTTATAAACTGATCTTCTTAAGCTGACGCGAGGCTGGTACAGATCTTCGTTGTCGTTGTTGTTGATGTTGTTGGTCGATGGCTGACGTTTCGGCGACTTCGCCTTCCTCAGTGCCTAGACGTATTTTATATTAGAATATTTTTATTGTTCGGTGGAACAAAGGGTAAAGTATTAATGAAGACCACATTCTTAAATACGCGCCATATTGAACAGAAAGGCCACTCACCGTGATCACCGACCCTTACTCTACTGTCGATACATAGACGACTACTTCATCGTCTGTTCTACACAAGAACAGATGAATGAGTGCTTTAAATTGTTAAACCGACAGCCAGAGTATATAAAATTTACATGTGAAAAACCAACCGCGAATTGGCTTTCATTCTTAAACATCCAAATAAAGCTCTCAGTAAGTGGCTATGTAACAAAATGGCATCGCAAGCCAAGTAGTAAAAACATTCTAGTCCACTGCCTCTCCTCTCATCCTTCACACATGAAAAAAACACTTGTCAAGAACATGTACCGTACGGCTAAAAATGTGTGTGTACAGGAGAAGAGGAAAGGAAGGAATCGCAAAACCTGGCACGAAAAATAGCCTTTTCCAATGGCTACGAAGTAGAATCTCATGTAACGCATGCGGTGAGGAATATATTGGGGAAACGGGTAGACCACTTTGTGTCCGAATAAAAGAACATGTAGATGGAAAAGTTAAAACCCGTCTAAACACTCCTCTAGGTACGCATAGGGCACAAAAGCACAACGGCGATGATTTTGAAGTGAATGTGCGGGTCCTGGCGCAGGAATCAAAAGCATCAACGGGCGAAACCCTTGAGGCGTTTTGGATAAATTTCAAAAATGCAAGGAAGAACCGTAAAGTTTCACTATTACGCTTGGCCTGGCGCCCTATTTCAAAATGATATTTTGACCCCGGGGTGTGTCTTGCTCTCGACCCCACGTGACCTACGTGTTGGCCAGTCCCACACGTAACATCACGGTGAGTGTAACCTTTCTGTTCAATATGGCGTCTATTTAAAAATTTGGTCTTCATTAACACTTTACCCTTTTTTCCACCGAGTAGTAAGAATACTCTAATATAAAATACCTCTAGGCTCTGAGGAAGGCGAAGTCGCCGAAACGTCAGCCATCGACCAATAACATCAAAAACAACGACAACGAAGACCTGTACCAACCTCGCATCAACTTAACAAGATCAGTTTATAAAAACATAAATAAATAAATGTGTCATAAGGAATAAAGTCGTGCAAAGCGTAAGAGGTATACTGACTAAATTTGACACGGGAGAGTAGTGATTGATTGCTCAACCCCAGTTTCAGATCGACCGTATCTCACTGCTACCAAGTCGGCAAACTGGCATCGGGCTTTCTGAGAAAAGTTTCTTATAATTCACGAAGGTCACCTAATGCCTATTGCCAATGCCTGGGAACTCCTCAATACACCTATCTCAAGACAGCAAGGTGAATGGAGTTGACCAGCATTAAACGTCATACATGGAAAAGACCACGAACTTCATGTAGCACCTAAACCCACACAGAAAAAGCTCCGAGACCCTCATAAGTGATTGTTTAAAGGTAACGAATTGTATTAAAGAACTAGTAGGATCCGAAGGACAACTGGTGGGGGGCCATATAGATACATTCGAAAAAAAACTTAAACTAGCTTAAGGTATTCAGCAATATATTATTAAGTAACTAATTAATAGAAAAAAGGCAAAAGACTACTTTGTAACAAGTCACTTTCTACACATTGAAGGAAATCCGTTTCGTATTGAATAAGTTCGAGTGGCTGAGTCTTTTCTTCGAGTGTTCGAATGAACGAACAAAAACATTAGACGACGATGTTGATGAATCGGGGCTGGATTCAAATACCAATCGGTTAATATTATACTTCTAAGATGGTAAGATCTGTAGAAATAATCATTACAAATTTTGTGTCGAAGTGAAAAGAAAACAGTTATCTACACAACTCAGCTCTTAATCCCTGTCATGTAGAGGAATGGATTATATTACCTTTGCCTTTCATCATTTCCTACTAACTTCGAAGGAGATAAGGCTCAAGGCATCTGGCACTGTTCGATATCCAAGAGGTGTGCCATGCATTCGATACCATTCGCATTGTTGCAAAGGTTATGAATGGATAATCTTGCCAATACAATGGCTTATGGGGTCTGACCTATGTGTAGAATCAGTGCCGCTATTTATATTCTAAAACAACCCTGGCGACAATTTGCCGACACCGAGAGAATGGAAGATTTGGTGAATTCTGGGTGGGGGATCGAACCAAGAACCTCGCATATATTGCAACGTACCTCAAGCATTTGTAGTAAATAACGTTAACTCTTTATTATAATGAGCTGTTTTCAAGTTCTATTTCGAGATTTGTTTCACGACTTATTCTCTGTCTAACCTTATTTCGCTTGACTTTAGGTGACGACAATCTACATGCTTCTCGGCTTTGCGTTAACCCTTTTCGCGAAGAATTACGTTGGCGAACCAATGCAATGTTGGGTTCCTAATCAGTGGACGGTCAGAAAACCCAATAATACTTACTCTGTTCTGGGAAAATCCATAAAATGAAAATCGGAGCATTACAGGCGGTTTGGGAAGTGTTCTCAGAGTCGTATTGTTTTGTCGAGAACACCTATTTTGTGCCAATGAACGACAGTAATATGCCGGCTGTACATACCAGAGAAGGCAGAGAAATGATCTACTACCAGGTTTGTTGTCATCGTTTTGGTCTACTCGTTTTGATCTATTACCCTTAGCGTTTTGCTGTTTGAAGGAAATAACTAGTTCTCACAATAAGTATTAGTGTTAACATTTGCTATTTCAGTAAGTGTGACAAATGTGATCATTTCTTTACGGAGACTAAACGCAAATAATAAATCTCATTTTTTTCTCTTTAGAACATTGTTATATTAATAAATTAAACTGCAATAATTAATGAAGAAAAGTTTTAACATGAGTTGTTTCATCTTCATACTATACAACCTTCCGTAAGCTGGCAAATGTTTGAAGGAAAAGCTATGTGAGATTGGACGCGAACATTTCTTTTTTTACGGAGAAGACACAGGGTAATGAAATTTTCGGAAAAACTGTTAATAAAAAACTAAAGAAAGAAGGAAAAGAAAAGAAATGAAAGAAAAAATATTAAGGCTTTTCTCGCATTTATTTCCAGTGATTCATCAGAAATAAAAATTTCCAACGTAGTTTAAAAATTAGGCATTAAAATAAATCACTGGCCTTGTGATTTTTTATAACTGCCTAAATAAAAAAGCTATTATTTATCAATGCTAAATTATAGGTACGGTAGATGTTTTGCTGCCAACTATGATTGCTATCATAATTATTTTCAGTGGGTTCCATTTATTCTTTCACTGATGGCATTTTGTTTTTATATCCCTCGTGGAGTCTGGAAAATCTTCTCACCTTACAGTGGTTCGTTGTCATTATTGTTTCATTGAGTGCTTGAAAGAGTTCCATGAACCAAAAATTAACGAGTGGATAAAAATACCTTCTTAAAGACGACCAGACGCGCTTTTTTTACAACTTTACAAGGCTTTTTTATTGTAGGTCTCATTTTTATTACGCTTACCAATAGTGGTTTCTTTTGTCGTGGTCTTTTTTTTTTTTACTTTATTACCATTTCGTTATGCGTCTTTTTTCTTCCTCTTCATTAAAATTTGTTGCACTCTTCCACTTTCTACGAGCATCCATTTTTCCTACATGAGAATAAGTCCTTAGGTCCTTATCGGACTTTTTCTTGCATTTCTTTAAGGCCTTGCTCTTGCCGACTTAATGACAGCTGCAAGGCGATCGGCAAAGACTGGTGAAGAAGATAAAATGATTTAGTTAGTCAAATTTTTTTGTGAACTTTAACTGCACATAAAACTATGTTTGTGAATAGAATAAGCCATTTCAGAGTAATTGTAATCCACCAAAATAAAGAAACAAAGTTAAAAAAAAAACAGAAAAAAGAGATTGGAACAAAAATCATTTTTGAAAAAAAAAACATTTATAGTTAACAGAGGATAAATATCTTTGAAGAGCTTAACTTCATCCCGCAACTTTCAGTTCGATGGCGACAACACTGCGGAAAGTACACACGTCAAAAGTTGTGCGATATGGTTCCAGCCTCTTTAATCTCTACATAGTAATGAAAGTAAGTGGTTTTAATTAAGTCACGTCCTTTTTGCAAAACTCCGGACTGCAGGTGTCTGCGGCGGTGGGGAACGAGCGCGAAGTTGCTCTTTCTGGGAAGTAAGGCGTTCACCACTACATCATGCGGGTCATTCGTTTCGCCCGTCTCTTAACTAGTTCTATCGATCATTGCCACCAGTAATAAGTCACGTCTTTCGAAATCAACCATCACTAAACCTCGGTAATAAAATTATCAACGTGTGCTTATATTGTTGAGCTTTTACACGAGGTTGTTAGAGATGTTTATTCGGTTAACGTTTCGACGTCTTCGTCTCTATCGGAGCTGATGATCCTTGTCGATGGTCCACAGTTGTTCCTCTTCTCGATGTGGCGTCTTTGCATCGAACCGGATCTTTCTCAGTTGAGCGTCTCGGATAAGCTGAACAGACCAGCGGCGCCACATCGAGAAGAGGAACAACTGTGGACCATCGACAAGGATCGTCGGCTCTGATGAAAACGCAGACGTCGAAACGTTAGCCGAATAAACATCGCTAACACCTCCTGTTATCTCAACGATATAAACACATAAGTCACGTCTGATCTAATTTATAAAACAGTTAAAGTCAACTTTGAAATTTATTAGAATCACATCTATCATTCGCTTTCTTTGTGGTCCTAGAGTTAGTCTTCGAGCGGATACCAGTGAAGTCGTCTCGTTTTGCCCTTCCTGTGCACCAACGAAGACCAGTTGTTCTCAATGACTATAAGTACACGAGGAATGCCACGGCTTTCTTTCAAGATCCTCATAGAGAAATTAGACCATCGGTTCAGATGTTGGTTTCCCTACACTGAGATTAACAACATTCCATAAGACACAATGGCCCAAGTCTGTTGTCCAGCGATTGTTGTTAAGGCGCCTAAGTTTTCTGAATTATCTTATATACCATAAACATAAAACAGCGCCAATAAACTTCGACCGATGGTATAGGTTTCGACCCCAATGGAACATATACGATCCTTCTGTGATAGCAAATTTTATTATTACGTCTGTATAAAAAACTTTATCACCAAAAGAATAGCGGACTTCACTTTCCCATAATCATTAACCATGTCGAGAAGGGCCGCGACAATCCCATCCAGGAGAGTAAGTGCTGCAACGCAAGAGCCTCGCAAGCTACCATCGTCCATTTTGTTACGAAAAAAAGCGTTTAAAAAGGACGTCGTACCAAAAGTGTGATGTTCTTTGTATCCCTTGGTAGGCGAGGTTACTGGTCTCGGCTGGAGATAATAGACGATGAAAGAAATCACAAATAGTTTTGTAAAGCAAAAGCTGGTGTTTCAGTGTTTTTGGATTCAAACTTCTTAAAGTTTTTCCCATAAAAGCTAGGAGCCAGATTATGACTACAGACTTTGTCCGCTCTTTCTTTGCAAAAACTAAGTACAAAAGTGCTGCCCATAAGTCAAAAATACTTTTATGTGTGAAATGATGAGTTTTAAGACCGAATAAGGATTAAGAGGGAAACCACTGTGGGTTATAGTGGCGAAATTGCTCAATAGAGAAAGGATGAGCATAATTATGAAGAAAAAACACGGAAAAAAGGTATGATGATTTTTAGGTGCTGATTTTCGTCAATCTCTTGCTACAGTTCTTTCTTCTCAACCATTTTCTTGGAACAGCATACACTTTTTGGGGCGCTGGCATCCTATTCGATATGATTCGCGGTCGACAATGGCAAAACAGTGGACATTTCCCAAGAGTAACACATTACCGCATTCATTATTGATTGATTTGAAGATTAAACACGAGTTGTACTTGTTTTGTTTTCACTTTTTCCACACCAACATCGTTTAATATAACAGAAAAAAAGTGTGGGACGCAGTGGTCGGAGGCGCCCTGCAACACACACGCGGGGTATATCCTCGAGTCCATGACTCACCAAGCCTTCCATCTCTATGGGGTCGGCAAATTGGTATCGGACTTGTCTAGGAGGATAGCAGCACTGGCTCGATATGCAACCGGTAGGCAACCGCGAGTCATTGTAAAGGCCAGATATGCATACAATCACCTCCAACAGCGCTTAATGAAGTCGAGTGCATGGCGCGTGTCGGAATCCCTAACGGATTGATCAACACCGAGGGCTTCTTTAGTTTTTTATGTCCATATTTTATGTTCATTTTTCTCTTTCTCATTTCTTATTTTAATTTTTTCATTTGCTTTTATGCCTTGACCTTTGCTTTTCACTTTTCTCGTTTATGCAGCTTAAACTTGTTTTTTTTTATGTTTCTGTCCACTTTTTTCTCATTCTCTTCTTGTCTATAAATTTATTTTCCACTTAGGTGGCCTTCTGTGATCTTACTGTGCGCGAAATGGGCAACGTTAACAATTGGACAGTACAGTGTGTTCTAATGGTGAGAGTACTTTGGAAAACCAATCGAAACTTCAAGCTTTGTGCTTTTTTAACATATTACCACTTATATAATACTGTTATTAACATATTGCTACATGTTACAACGCTACTATACAGTGTGAGTGCAGTGCAATGGTTAGAGGTCTTCTTCAAACAAAAGGCAACCCTGGTTCGAACCCGTACCATCCTTGAGCGATTGATCAACAGCAAACGCTTTATCCTTTGTCCTTTCTTACATAATGAAATGTATTTCATAGAGTAGAAGTATTAATTTACGCAATATATATGGTAAAGCCTATGGATCGAATAGTTCAGGTGAACATGTTTAACGAGAAGATCTTCATCTTTCTGTGGTTTTGGTTCGCTTTTCTACTTTTCTGCACCGTCATCAACTTATTCATTTGGATTCATCGTCGCATCAGCAGAGCCGCTCGCATGACCTTTCTCTACGACGTCCTGGTTAGTTTATTGTGAATATTGGGAAATGTAGTGATTAAATTTTAAATTTTACTTGCTACTAGCTTTTGACAACACTGGGAATTCATTTAATCCAACATATGTTACATACGCGACATGGTATGTGTAGTGGTTAGAGGTGCCATGCAAATACACGCAAAGCTCCTGGTTTTATCCCGCGCTAAGCCAACTGAGTTATCCATTCCTGTTGGGTTAGGGGCGGATTAGTACCAGAGTTTCTAAGAAATATTATGCTTCTTGTGACCCTCAAAAAAAACCGACTTTCCGTGCTTAGGACCTGGAAACTATCTAGTATCACCACTCAAGGTTTCAAGGAATATCAACTCGACAAGCTTTCAGTGACATCTATAGAGGAGGAAAACCCTCAAGTGGCGTCCAAACTTACATACAAATCCGAAAACCTTTGTGGAATACGGAAGTAAAGCAAGGACCAAAAAATGCTACTAGGATCCGCACAGCATAGGAAGTCAGATGAAATATGAAAGTGAGAAAAAATATGCTGTATATATGTTAAACACTTCAAATATACGCCTTTATAGAGAATCATAGAAGTTCTAGCATTATAATTCCAGTTTTATATTTTGCTAGCTGGGAAAGATCTGCTTACGGATTCTGGTGAAGCCCGTTCAACAGGGTATGAGTAATCTGCTCACTTATTTTCGGCGCACCTGTTGATCGGAGTGATATATACCGCTTCGCGAATGGGATTATTTATAAAGACCTGAGATTTCTGAAACAAATTTCTTCTTAGCTGGGTTTCCTCAAACGTTATCATCTTGAGTGATTCCAATTTGTGATAAACTCTTGCCGCATATCACAGGTCAACACCCAACAAAATTCCAGTCGCGGTGGATCGGCAAAATATGAATTGGTCAAGTTGAGCTCCAAGCATTTCTATCAAAGCTCATTTCGGTCTTCCAAAACCTAAAAAACAATGTCCTTATTAAAATGAATAAAATAAATAAAAATAAAAAAAGGAAATCTGAAAGAAAGGATGATAAGTAATGAAACCCACGATAGACTTAAATCAACGGCAGTCTTTTTGGAATAAAGCATAAAATGTTTAGCGTTGATCGGTCTCTGAGGGATTCGCTATGCATTCGACTCCATTCTTAGCATCGTGGAGCGACTGAATGCATATTAAGCCAATACGTCTTTTTGCATTGGCCTATCTATGCATCGAGTCCCTACTTTAGTCCTCGCAAACAAGTTTGGTACCAATTTGCCAACGTCAGTGGGATAAATACTTGATTCGCTTCGACGAACATCGAACCAAAAACCAGGAGGTTTTGGAGGGCATCTCTTACCAGTTTGCTATATGGTTGCACAAAATTCAACGCATAATCTATCTGTAATACAAGAATAGGTACAAATTTTAGACCGACAGTGGTCTTGATACCACTGCGAACGACAGAGAAGAGTTCTACGAAGATGTGGTGAAAGATGACGGCATACTGGTGCTGCTGTTACTCGATGCCAATGGTGGTCGTCTTCAGTCCGGCGAGCTTGCCAATCAACTTTGGTCATCAAAATTTCCACAAAACAGTGAGTACTAAGAGCTTAAGAATTGCAGAATAACCCAAAACAAAAAGGTTTGAAGACGTTTAGGTTGATTTGGAACAAGAATAAAAATTGAAGTCAGGGTTAAATTTGTGGTAAATTTAATGACGTAGTACAAAAACACATACATTACCAATAATATATATTTTGTACATAATATAGAATTGAAATAGATCATTATGATACCGGTATTACTTTACTTTTAAGTGGATAGCTTTAGTTGAATACTGTTGGTAGCGGTGATTCAGGCGAAAAAACGATCTCCACCGTAGCCGAAGACGAACCGCATCTGAACGACCAGTTATGGAACGAAAACTATCCAAGTACATAGAAAAATTTTCTCTTAGAATGAAAAGCAAGTGGAGAATCCTAATGAGAAAAACAATTCAGGAAATAGAAAATGGAACAGAGGGAGTGAGAGAGAGAGAGAGAGAGAGAGAGTTTAACAAATTACGATGACCAAGACAGTAAATCAGGTTAAGAGTGGTGTAGAATTTCAGCGAACCAAAGATGAAAAGAAAAAACTGAACCTGAGAAACCGTTCATGAAGTGAGTGAAAAAATAAGTTGTTTGAGAAATTTAGGATGGAAGAGCGGCAAAATAAACACAAATAGGTGGGGTGGGTTTTAGCGCAGTGGCTAGTGATCCAGTCTATCAGGTAGTACGGTGCAAGCTCGACTGGCTACCAGAACACTACAATCCAAGTGCTGACGCTTTACTTATGCTATCTTTAATATCACAGCGAGTATCACCTCCACCAGCATCCAACAAAATTCATAAAAATAAAAGGAAGTCCTCAAGCAGCAGCTGAAGCAACAGGCGTAATATCCTAACACCATTCCGCACGATGAAGGAAGGCAAAACGAATCGAATGTGAGAAGTGCCGAAATCTGCAAGTGATGGTGGATTATGTAAAATAAAAAAAGAGGAGAAAGAATTTAATGCAGAACTATAGGTGGGTTGCGAATGTGAGATTTTTAACGCTTTAGAAAGGAGGAGATAGATTCGATTCGAAAGGAGATTGGTGGGAAAAATTTGAAGGTTTGAATTATGCCAGCCGCAAAAAAAATGGTTAGAGGTTAGTCTGAAAAGATTTGTGCATCGTTTATGGTTAAAAAAAGCCATGAAATATACCGCGAACTTATCGCTTTTGTTTTTCAATGAGTTAACATTTTATTCTCGGCCAGACGCGCAGTTTTCAACAGCGACGTTAATTTTTTTGACACAGCGCTGGAATACAGGCGAACCTGCATGGTGTGGTGGTGAGCGCGTTAGCCTCCGGAAAGGGTAATATCGTGTTCGTTCCTCACCGCAGACGCTTGCGGTCTGGAGTTTTGCAAATATCTCAGCATCACTGTGGTTGCATTTTGCATTATACCCTGCCGTGGAAATTTATGGTAGGCAACACACGAAAAGTCAGCACTATTTTTCTTGTTTCTTAATAACTTTTAGTTGTATAAGAAATTCAATTTTATAAAGTCGAATATCATTGCGAATGAGAAAAAACAACTTATAGATGCGCCGTCTGCTATTGATGAAGCCAGCTGATTTGAAGCGATCATTAACGGAGTCATCTACACCTTGTATTAATAAAAGTTATTGATCAGTTTTGTAATTGTTCAAAAGGTTGAGAGGATAATGGCCCTTTGATTTTTATTGCTTGTTGACTTTACTTGAGCATTTTTGCAGCACTGTATTTTTTTCTTCCTCTAGAATGTCATTTTTTGCCGTAGCGAGGAATGTGATAGGCAATCTTGACACCACTTACGATGTCGACTCTTTGGACCGGTAAGTATTTAAACCAGTGCTAGCTCATAAGGGCAAGGACTTAAGGCACAAGGTTCTAGCTTTAGTGTTAAGTTTGGCGGACAGGTCAAGATCTTTACGGGGCCTAATCTTGCCTATTTACTTGAAATTGAACGCAAGGAGGTCAGTGATTAGAGATCTCGTGCAAAGCACACATTGGCGTTGGTTTGACCCTGGCTACGCAACTGTTCTATCATGTCAAGTTAAGAAAATCGGTAGGAGATCTGTTCGGAGAGATGAAAACACTGATTGCATACATCGGTAGGCACCCGTAAGTCATTGTAAAGGCCAAATATGTACTGCATTATCCATAAATGCTATGAATTGGGTCCAATGCATGGCATGTGTCTCGAAGATTGATAGATGCCGAAAATCTTACCCTTTATCCTTCAAGTGCTTCCAATGTAGAGAGAACTACTTTGGATTGTGAACATTACGTGTAAAGAATATGTCGAAAATAGTGGTAGTAACCTACTTATCTTAAGGGATTGTTATATTACATTTGTAGAGTGAAATACGTCTACACACCATGGATTCTTTGTGGAACAGCATTTCTTGTTTTCGCGAAAGAGTATGTAGGCACGGCGATTCAGTGCTGGGTACCCAGACAGTGGTCGGTAAGACTTCAGAAATTACAGTGTTCCAAGTTTTCTAATCTATTTCTTACCTGCGCTTTATCTTATAACAATTATAAATTGTAAATTAGTGAGATTTTCGACAAATTTGGTCAGATTAATTATGAAATGTCAAAAAATCTAGGACTGGCTCAATGCAATAATCGGAACCGTCTTATGCAGGCATCTTCTAGCTCACCAAGATTACACATTGCTAAGCAGACTCTGTTCCTTAAGGAGACCATACAACAGAAAGATTAACGTTACTCAACTATCTCTTAAAAAAGGGCTCAAGAACACCTAATAGTCCTGTGGGAGCTCGCTACTCAAGACGCTTAGTAAAAATGGTCATCCTCTGGTATTCCTACTGAATAGTGATTTTGTTCGTATTTTTGAGCAAACGCGAGGTGTTATTGTTCTTTGTTCACGATTAAGCTGACGTTTCGGCGAATTTCGCCTTCTTCAGAGCCTGGAAAGGTCAAGTTGATAGCAACTCACTCGGCCAGACGCCTCCATAACCAAACAAAGAAACCCCAGACCAAGATTTCAATCACTTTGAACACAGCTTTGCACACTCACCGCTTTCTATGAGGTCTCCACTAAGTATGTCACGTAGAGACCAACCGCACAGAAATCACTTGGAAGTATAATGTGCCCCTCACATCAGAAAAGCAGTTTTATATACTGCCCTATATCACGCGTGATAATGAGGCATTCTTCCCTGCGGTTCATTTTCGGATTTCTGGAATTAATCCAGAGTGCCTCGAGGGTTTTTCGCGCCTGTGTTCTCGATTCGCGTGCGAGGAGAAATTCGCCGAAACGTCAGCTTAATCGTGAACAAAGAACAATAACACCTCGCGTTTGCTCAAAAATACGAACAAAATCACTTGATCAATGCCGAGGTTAATAGAAAGTCGGTCGTGGCAGTTACCTACTGAATAGTGTTTGAATCAAAACGAGATATGCATCTACGGTAGCAAATCCCATTTCTTCAAGTCCATTTTGGCAGACCTTAATGTGTCCACCATGGATGTATTCTCTCCTATTCTCATTTCCTCGTATCTAATGCCTTATAGATGAAAAATATTGAGCTGCCGATTATTCTATGTCAGACAGAGACTTCTTGTGGAACTACGCACAGTTCTCAGCGATATTTTGGCTCGCCTTTTCGTCAGTTAATTGCGGCAGAAAACTGGCTTTCTAGCCAATGGTTCTAGGGGAAATGTGTCGTTGCTAAAAAATAGATTTTTACGACATCGACAGTTATTTTCCAATTTCCTACTAGCACCTCGCCTACATGGAGAGTTGGCTGGGTCATCCGTAACCAAGATGAGAGAAACTTACCCAAAAAAAGCCATGTGAGCTTACTGGGTTTAGAAAAGCGTTCAGTATTTTGAACTACATCGCATTTCTTGCGGTGCTACATTACCCACGATTACAGTCGGCGTAGCTGAAAAGCTCACATCCTACACCGACGTGGACACTATTACGGTTCCGAAAGTGCCGCAGCATTAGCAACATCGAGTTTGTAAGCAGTTCTTTATTACTCGTATAATGCTGAGATATTTACAAAACTCCGAACCGCAGGTGTCTGCGGTGGAGAAGGAACGCGCTATTGTCCTTTCGGGGGAGTAACGCATTAAAAAGAATAGGCAGTAAATGAAAAGGTTAAGATTGTGATTATAACTATAGCCTCAGCTTAACTGGGTTCAATGCCGATTTGGGCTCCCCAGATCGATCCCGTTGACGGGTGATTGCTGATGGCGCCGATCGATAGAACTAGCTGAGAGTCAGGCGAGAAGAAGGACCTGCATGGTGTGGTGGTGAACGCGTTACTCCCCGGAGAGGACAATAGTGCGTTCGTTCCCCACCGCAGACACCTGCGGTCCAGAGTTTTACAAATATCTCAGCATTATACGAGTTATATTTCGCAACATACCCTGCCATTAAAAAGAATAGGCAGTAAATAAAAAGGTTAAGTTTTTTATTAGCTTATCAATACAGCAGGATAACGATTATCCATACCATCAGTATAATAATAATATCAACAATAAATCAGTAGGATAACTAATAAACTTTGATGGTTACGAATCTCGTTGAGACATGACGTGAGTACAAGATGCTTTTACATCCGAATTTCGTCAACTTGTATAGTATCTCCGACTTCATTAAGATCGAACTAAGATCCCACATCAGAATTTTAGAACTAAAATGAGCATAAGGACTTTGTCGAAGCTGTGATACGAGGAGTATCTCACATAACGCTGACCATAACAAAAACTGACAGTTATAATAAGTGTATAGGAATAGAGAAAATTAAACGAGGAAACTGTGCTTTCACAGGGTGGTTGGGAACAGTACGCAGAGCAGTACTGCCTGATTGAGAACACATATTTTGTCCGAATGAACGACTCACATATGCCGCCTATTGAACAAAGGGAACATCGAAAAATTCGATACTACCAGGTAATTTCCATAATCGCTTGCTTTATTGATATTTTATTGTGAAGATCTCTACTTTCAAATATTTTTTCTTATTAGTTTTTGATAAGTAACATTCTTTCTGTCTATTTATCAGGTATTTCCGTAAAAATTTTACTAGTAAGAGTAAAGTAGACAGCAGATGATTTCAGCGTGATTACTAGATTTACAACTCTACATTTTCACTTTTGATTAACAATATGTTTTCAACCGTCAATGAGCTGAATGTCAAATATCTAGCTGGACACTTGGATGGACTGTCCTCACTAGTTGTGCCGGCCCCAGCATTATCCTCATTTTTTCGGAGTTTCGCTGGAATAACCACTGCTCCTGTTCCCTTGAGTCCCAAGATCAGCCAGACCAAAATCCGCTCCAGGTCCGTCCGTCACCACCACAGGAAGACGCAGACCGCCTTTGTGCATCGGAGCGAGATTTGCTACCATACGGCTAGTTTGATACCAAGCCGGTGGCGGAACTTAGTATTGGTTTACTCTCAGTTGAACTTCCTGATGGAAACGCCGGACTTCTTTCAAGCTTGGGTGGTCCTGCCAGGGGAATGAATTCTCCCGCTTTACATCGCTGTTCGACAACCAGGAACACCTCCCAGGCACGATGAGACAGTAAACCGTTGAAAGGAGTGACAAATATTTAAATAGGATAATAAAACATTAGTCGAAAAGTTTCCGATACGAGTCTTTTTTTACGATAAAACAAGGTGATTTCAGTGGGTACCGTTTGTTCTTCTGCTACAAGCGCTATTTCTATACGTTCCACGATTTGTTTGGAAACAGTTGCGGACTTTGACAAGTGCACCTTTTGTTTGTCACTGTAATTCGAAACTTTTTCGAGGAGTCAAACATTTCAGAAGTCGATCTACCAAGTGTGACGGTTGCTTTAAGGAAACATGCGAAGACCATTAGAGATCCGCTAGACGTGAATATGATTCTGAAACCTGTTCGTAGAGGTTGGAAGATTTCTTGTTTCCATATCGTTCAACTATTTCTAATTTGCTTACTTAAATAGATTAACCAAAATTTACTAATCCATGATGCAATCAATTGCTTGAATCTTATAAATGATAGAAGTTAAGACAGTTTGTGGTGAAGTGGTGTGCGAGCCCTCACTATATATCTGTTGTAATGCAAGTTCTTCGTCGGTTAATCTTGTAGAAATTTCGTGTGATTTTAAGAAGTGAAAGCGATGAGAATGTTGAAAAAAATTTTGGTGACGTCATCAGAATTCAATAGTACAGTTGTTAGAGGCGCCCTGCACTACACACCTGGTCAGTGGTTCGATTCTAGGCCAGCAAATTAGTGCCACACCGTTCTGAGAGGAATAAAAAAGCTTTGCTTGGGAGGGAAGCTTCCGTAGGTTACCGCACATGACAAATATATGTTCAACCATCCATAAAGCCGCGAATGGATTCGAATGCGAAGTGCACCCTTAATAAATTAACCAATGACGATCACTTTTTATTCCTTATTCTTTCAAGCGTTTCCTAGGCACATGGGGATATAAGCTCACTATGTCGCTGTTATTTTCAAAACTGCTGTCAATTGCGGTGATGATCGGGCAGATTTACTTCATCGGATGGTTTATGGGTGCTGGACATTTGCACGGTCTTCGGGTGGTCGTCGACGCTTTGAACGGTCAACAATGGGAACAGAGTGGCAATTTTCCTAGGGTAAGCCTTTTTTTACTACTTACGCTATTCTATTACGTATATCTTCCATTTTTCAAAACACTGATAAAACCAAGCACCAGTCGGCACTGACTATATATCTGTTTATCATAGAGTGCATGCATATCCACGGAGCAGGTGGAGCGTAGTGTCCGAAGGTGCGCTAAAATATATGTGTAGTCATTGGTTCGATCATGTGCCTCAAGGTCAACAAACTCCTCTCTCTGTGGAGCCGGAAAATCAGTACCCGGCTTATCTGAGAGAATAGGATCACTGAATTGATATATCGGTAGCCCATCGCAGGCCTTTCTATAGGCCATGTGTGCATTTCCTCACCTCTAACGATGCTTGTGAAGTCGAGTGCATGGCATATCCGTCGAGGGTTGGTTAACCTTTATCTTTTGCCTCTCATCCAAATGTATTTATATGCTGTATACATTATATAAAATTCGAATTGCATGATCTTTTTCTTACACGTATATTATACTGTATATTCGCATGCATTTATATACTTCATGTGATTTTATATACATTTTCATACAATCATGTTTCCACTTACCCGTCTTTCAAATGTTTATTCAGTAATTTTTGGACTTATAGTAGCAGTATGTCTGAATGGTTCGCATCTACCTGTACGAATAGGTTTCACGTACTATATAGATACAGTAGAAAAATTTATAGTCGTCTTCCTCATTAAAGGACTGCATGTGGCACAGTGATTACAAGTGCCGCACAGTTCACGAAGATTCATTGGTTCGATATCGTCTTGAGAAACTCGGATCCTACCCCTCACTCGTCGATAAATTACTATCGGCCCTATCTGGGAAAAGTTATCTCCCGTCAATGAAGTCCACTTTCTGAGAACTTATGAATGAATTTCATGGCGAATCAACATGAGCTGCCGCACTCGACGATGCCAGAGACTAACCCGAAATCCTCAGTCAGTTGTAAGTAAAACCGCATACAAATTCAAAGACACTCGTTGGGTTATAAAGCAACGATCTATGCGAAGGAAATGCTCAAATTAACACAATGTGCGAAGATTTCATACAAATGAGATAAAATTCTTAGAAACACTACTCACTTTTTAATGTTTTTCTTCAATAAGAAGACACGAGGTTGTTATTACAGAATTTATTAGGATACAATAGCTGACGTTTCGGCGGTTTCGCCTTCTTCAGAGCCCACAACTCTCCTCCAAAGGAAATCCTCCAAATACTGAACACAATAAGATTTCTTCGACTTGCACTTCTTCAATTGAGCGTACATGGTGTCCTGTTTGCATCGAACAGAGGCGCGTAGTAGTCGCGTTTCGATGTCCAGTACTAGTTTGTTGCCCCTCGGAAAGCCGCATATATTGTGTAGTCGTTTTCGTTTGATGAAGTTCGGCACGACTCGGTGTTTCAGGCAACGGCGAAGAAAGAGTATCGTTTTTTGAAGAAAAACATTGAATTATCGATCAGTGCCGATGTTAACAGAAAGTCGGTCATGGGAATTACTCATTTTGTTAACTTTTATTTACTGCTTCTTTTATTTACTTCCATTTTTTCATGGCAGCATATTATGTGAAATACAACCACAATGATGTTGAGATATTTTCAAAACCCTAGACCTCAGGTGTCTTAGCCCGCAGTGGAGAATGAACGCGCTATTACCCTTTCGGGGGCTAAAGCGTTCACCACCGCACCACGCGGGTCCTTCGTATCGCCTGTCTCTTAGCCAGTTACACATTTTTGTTTAAGGTCACCTTTTGCGATATCGAAGTTCGTCAACTCGGTGGTGTTGTTCACAGATGGTCACTACAGTGCGTTCTAATGGTATATTGATAGTACTAGTTGTTAAGTAAATTTTTACGCCGTCCTCCATCTAGCAGAAGTTATCAGTAAAAAGTGCATACTATTGCAGGTTAACATGTTCAACGAGAAGATCTTCGTGTTTTTATGGTGGTGGTTTTATGCGCTACTTTTCCTCTCGTTACTCAATTTTATTCGATGGATTATTCGACTATCATTCGACTCGCAACGAATGTTTATCACCGCCGTACTGGTACTATAGAGAACTTTCTTGCAAGAACGTTCAAATATGGCAACGTTGTACCTATTGCTAACCTGATTATCTAACTGGAAACTACCAAGAAGTGCAGCGGCTTCGCAATTGTTACTCTGTTACGTTGCAAAATACTCTTTATAAGAGTAACAGGCGTGTTTATCGCAATGGTTGGAGGTGCCCTGCCATACACACATGGTCATTAGTTCGATATCGAGATCCGGATAAAGCAACCTTTCTCTCTCGCCTGGGTCTGAAAATTGATATTACATTTATCTCAATAGCAAGGTTAGAATGATAGGCTTTGCCATTTCTAAAGCCTACTATTAACTGGCCCTCCTGTGTTAGTAAACCGTCGTCCGATGTCACCGCAAGGGAACACAACTATTGAAACACTAAATCATAGAAGCAGTTCAGAAGAACAAGTGAAAAAAGGTTCAAATTTTGCATTTTCATTTTCTCCCGCGGTTACCAATAAATCGATAGGTTGATTTTCTACGAAGGAAAGCTTTTATCATTAAGGAATCGAGTGTGAGTGATGATGTTGACTGCAGGGATGTTAGTGAATTTTGTAAATCAGCTTTACGCACCGATGGAATTACAATTGTTCGGCTTCTTGAAGAAAATGCTACCATCTACGAGGTAAAATCATAATCTAGAATAACTGAAAAATTCTAATTCTTTTTTTTTCTTTTTTATTTTTATTTTTCTTTTCCTTCATTCTTCTTTATTTTTAATTCTCACTTTTAAAAACTAAAATTCGATCAATTTTTTTTCACTTATCTTGTAATTTAGGCAGCAGATTTTGTTCTCCCACTGTGGAAAGAGTTCGGTGACTACAAATCGAAGACAGAATGATCTCATGAAACAAAATGAAAAGAAAGAATAAGGAAAGGGACATAGAGGAATTTTATGAAGAAGTATTTAAATGTTTTTTAAGTTTTTTCTCGATTGCTTTTAACATTGAGAAGCCAGGAAGAAGGTGAAATCAACTACATGATTCTCGCTTTCACTGCATATGCTATAAATCAGGAAGAAATTGCCCTTAGAGATTTTCATAGAACAACTCTCGATAATAAACTTGTAAAAGTAAACTTGTAAAGGTAGTAAAATTGAACTAATTGATCTGTAGAGTATGAAATCGTGGTCGAGTTCTGTTCAAATGTGCGATTTTTTAAAATTATCGGCCCTTTGAAAATCATGATGATTCCACGTCATGTTCATTTGGGCGACAAACATAATAGAAAGAAACTCGAGAGACTGGTTTGTCGCATTCCACCTTGACCACAAGAAAAACTGCGTAAATCGACGCTACACTGTTCATACCTGAGTAATGTGCTGAAAACGACAGCAATAGGAGTAAATATAAAGAGTAAAAGAGATAAAACATTTGAAGTTCGTCAACCCTTCAGGTAAAAGAAGGATAAAGTTTTTGGCGTTGATCAATCCCTGAGGGATGCGCCTTGCATTCGACTTCATAAGCATCGTTGGAAGTTATTCAATGTATATCTGGCTTTTACAACGATTCGCAGTGGCCTACCGATGTATCGAGGCAGTGCTGCTTTCCTCTCAGACAAGTCTGATGATAAAAATTTTTCAAACACGGGAGAGATGAAAGGCTTAGGCACGCTTTGGGAGCGGGGATCGATCCCGTGTTTATTACAGGACGCCTTCGACCTCACCACTCTACACACCTCCATATTCTTTAGGTATGCGCTATGAATTCTACTCTATTCGTAGCTCCCAAGATCGACTTTCTCTTAACCTCGGCATTGGAATATGAATGTGTCGTTTTCTTGCTCAGCAATCCCGTTTATGTTGCCTTTTATAAGCGATGAAGTAAGCGCAGCTATAAAACGATGCTTAAGAAGGGCAGATCTAGAGGAATCGGTAGCGATAGTTGAAATACCACCGACTACTCTACGTCGCCAATTAGTTCGCAACCGCCTGTATGACCGTCTGTGTGAAACAACAAATTGCGTAATTTGCCCTTACGGCAGGGACGGTGATTGCATGAGTTCAGGTACGATATACCTGATCTCGTGTAACAATTGCGGAGATGAATATATTGGCGAAACGGGCAGACCTTTGTGTATCCGTATAAAAGAACACCTAGATGGCAAACGAAAACTAAGACGAAGCACCCCACTAGGCACGCATAGGATACAAAAGCATAGCGGAGACGATTTTGAAGTAAAAGTCAATATCCTTGCACAGGAGTCCAAAACACCAGCGCGAAAACTCCTTGAGGCTTTTTGGATCAATGCCAAAAGCCCTACAATGAATAGCAGGGATGAATGCCCGGAGATCATACGCGACCTGATGCCGTACGTTCGCATCGATTTTTGATGTGGGATGGTGCAGTCGTCAACCACATGCGACTATAATCAGCTGTTCTAAACTTCCTCATTGGAAGTCACGAAAAAAGCGGTGGGTTTTTCGAGAAGTTGTTGATTGTGTAATTGCCGGAGAGCTCTTCGTCTTTGTGTAAGTGTTATTGAAGCGTTTGGCCTAGTAGATTGTATATCAGTATACCCTTCCAGGCTCTGAAGAAGGCGATACTGCCGAAACGTCAGCTAGCGTTGTATTGTATTGTGTTTTCTTTATGGAAGTAAATGTATGCTGTTTAAAAACCTCGCGATTGCTGAGCAAGAAAACGACACATTCTATTCGTAGCCTTCTTTAAAGGCGCTTTTTAGGTTTAATGCACATATGGCTCATACAATACTGGCACAATAAGTGTTTTTAAAGCTATCAATGCCTAAAACAGCGAGAATGAATGGCAGTGGAGAATGGTCTGGAAACATTAGGGCCTGAGGAAGGCGAAGGCGCTGTAACATTAGTCACAATAAAGCTTTGAAAACAATCTCATGCAAGTTCAACGATTTAGGAAACTATAAATAAGTTAGAATTTTACTCTCTACAAGTTTGGCACCAATTTGCAGACCAATGAGGGATGGAGAGCTTAGTGAAGAGCTAATGAGCAATCGTATCATCGGGCACGTATGTATTACAAGGCGCCTCTATCTACTGGCCTGTGCGTACCCCAGATATTCTATAGAATATAAAAATCAGCAAAATTTGGAATCCATTGTCAAATCGTAAGCATCACAGTAGACCACATACGATTAAGAGGAGAGATAGCTGAGTGGCTAGTGATGCAGTCAGTAGGAAAGCAAGGTGCTGGTTCCATCCGTTCCCCAAAGCTTTCTTCCAATCCATGTGAGAAGTACTTTGCTCGGCTATCTTGGCAAGGAGAAGAGATTCGATCAGCATCTACGACAACCATAAAAAAGACGTAATCCTCAATCAGCAGCCAAGACAACACCTAAATGTTGACAGACCATTGAAAGAACGAATTGAATCCAAGAAGCGATAAGATCCGCACAGTAGATGTGACAGCGAGCCTTGCAAATAAAATGAAAACGACTAATAGTAGGGTTCCCGTCATGCAAATGTTTTAAAGTGTAAAGCGCCTGTTCACTGAGGCTGTGGTGGCAACGATCTCAAGGTTACGGACTGCTAACCGATAGAGGTCGCCATGTTGAATGCATTATCATTTGTCGCTCGTCAAAGTGCCCACTTACTGACAACGGTGGCGGTACGTGGGGCGATTTGACGTGCGGACGGAACTTGAGTCCAAACATTTCACCATGGCTCACTACATATCTTTCAGACCATCTTGTAATGCAACGATGAAGGTGATCATATCGGTGTATGATGACAGGACGATAAAGCTCTGAATGATTCACTCCATACTTATTTATTTATTCATATGATTATGGCACGTGCGGAGCAGTGGTTAAACGTGCCTTGCAAGGCAAACATAATCGTTAGTTAGATCCCTCGTCCCTGGTTCACCAACTTTTCCTTCCCTGCGAATTCGGATAATTGCTCCCAGGTTTGTCTGAAAAGATAGTGGTACTGATTTGATATATCCACAGGCTATTGTAAGCCCTTGTATAGGCCAAATATGTGTTCATTCACTTTTCAAGTGCTTGATGAAGTCCAATCCATTGCACATTCTTCAGCGATCGATTATCCGAACGCTTTATACCTCATTCTTTTATTAATACGATCAAACTTCAGATATCATTTGAAAGTAAGCGCTTGACGCAGTTTGTTGTGCGCATACAAAATCTACGAAGGTCTCCGCCGACTTTGTGTGTGGACGCCGCTGTATGCGAAGATTTTGTCTTCTTCGAAAACGTGACAGACAAATGGTTATACTGATTTTCCCTGATATTCGGTGCAGCTCTACCAAAGCGTTCTCTGGTTCTTCATCAGATGTAGTCAACAGCTTCTGCTATCACAGATACAGATACCCTGTCCACCCACCACCCCGCCCCCCTTCCCCATGCATAAAGGACAAAAGCAAGTCTGGCACCAGTTTGTCGTCCTAGGAGGCTTAAGCTTGGATGTCTCCGTTCGAGATTGAGCCAACGACTATGCATGATTACATGGTCACTACCCGTTCTACACTTCAACTGATTAACTATCGAAGCAGTTTATCACTTAGTAACAAGTGATTTAACGATTAACTTTCTGTTCGTCTTTATCTACGTCCCATAGCTTCCATGTGAGTCCTCTTTGCTCGACGTAAACAATGAGCTTGGCATTTTTCATGCGACGTGTTTGATTTTACTGGCTCTTTTTCGACGGAGATGTCCCCAACCACGCTGCCGTAGATCGTTGTTCGATTCCAATTTAACCCTTTACCATTTATGAAACCTTGCTGGTAACCAGCTAATATCTCTTCATAGAAGGTAGACTTCAAATATTGATAAGACGCGGTGACAACTGATTGCACTAGAGACAAATAGGGTCGCCCTAGTAGCATAACTGTTCGAGTATTCGAAGGTAAAAAGCATTTCATTTAAGAAGGAAGAGGAAAATCCTCAAGCCTTAGCCGCACTCACACACAGCACACCATACACACACAGACGCAGACATACACACGCATACACACACCAGCACGCATGCATACATACATACACAAACGCACACAC